GCAGGCAACGTCCTCCTGTTATCGCCTTTTATTTTTTGTTGCTGTTATAAGAGTTTTGATCAGCCAATCACAGCTCGCACCTTTTACTGTTGCCCCTTAGATGACCATTGCCTCGCGAGCGCTTTGTTGCTTCCCCTGTCACGTCGCCTACGTGCCACCACATGTGCAGCATTTCTTTTTTGCGTGTGTGGTGTGCAAAACCGCTGTGGACTCCTTGAATTGTCGACTGGTCGTGTAGCTATGGCCAGCATCAAGAAGCGCAAGACCCTTGACCTTGGGACGAAGTTGAAGGCTACAGCGTGTTGAAGTGGGCAAGAAATGTTCAACTGTTACGAACGACTTCAGGATACCATGGAGCACTCTTGAGTACCTTGTTGAAAAGCAAGGCAGATATCAAGGCAAAGGCGGCAGAGCAGCGAACGTCGGGAGCCTGTCATGTGCACCATTCTGCCCACAGAAATGTAGAAAAGGCACTCTATGCCTGGTTTTTAGAAGTGGGCACGAAGAACATTCCGGTGGATGGCCCAATGCTCATCACCTAGGCTAAATTGCTGCTGCACTCAGTGAAGCAACTTCGCTGAGAACAGCGGGTGGCTTCACCAATTTAAGCAGCGCTATAACGTCGTTGCCAAAATCGATTCTGGCTGAAGCGAAGCAGCCAGCAGGCAGGACATCCAGAAGTGGATGACGAAGGAGTGGCCGGAAATCTCCGTGAAGTTTTTTCTGTGAAGATACAGTGGAACTTACGGAAACCGGTGAAGACGACGAGTGCATAGACGACACGTTTCGTTAGTCGTTGTCCCGCTTCCTGGCAGCAGTTCCACGCAAAGTGTCTGCGGACAACTTCGTGGAAGCGGACTGCAATGTCCAGGCCGACAACTTATGTGACGAGGAGGATCGTCCGAACGAGGTGCTGGCTACACACGCGTACTCTGGCACTGAAGTGTGGCGACAGCGTTTGGCATCAATACGCTGTTGTATCGGCCACATGGAGGGAACCGGGCTGTCGCACCTGGACAGCCTTGATTAGATCGAGACTAGCGTCTTCAACATTTCAAAAACGAAGAAGCAGGCCATGAATAGCAATTTGTTTCACGCGAATAAATCATTCTGCTGCAGCGTGTGTGTGGAATTGGTTGTCATCCCTGAATGCGCCTGTTATAGGTGGTGATCCACTACAGGTAAGCTCTCATGGCCTCTAATTTTTTTATATCAAATTTTTCATATATCGGAACTAATTCGTGATCCCTTCGAATTCGATATATGCGTGTACGATTGTATATCGAACTATCTCGCGATTCCCTTTGAGTTCAATGTATCCCGTATTGACTGTTTGTGTTACAGCCTCCAAAGACAATTTTTTTACTCAGGGGTGAAAAAGCTGTGCTATCTGTGCCATCGTGTGCCAACATGTCTACCTGTGCCATTCTGCACCATACCACCCCTGCTGAACCAAATTCACTTTCTCAGCAGCTTACTGTGCTGCAGAACCAGTATTTAGCTGCAAGATGCGAAAGGCATGAAACGTCATGCCCGGAAACGTGGCTGAAACATTGTCTTTTGGTCTAATCGAAACAGTTATTGCTTCGGTTTCGTAGAGGCTATCAAGGCTCCAGCAGTAGCCATGAACTATGATTTTAATGGCACTATCATGATTACAGCAGCGTTCTGTAGAGTTACACAATATTGGATTTAAATGAGTTGGCTGTGAGCCTTAAAATTTGTTGCTGTTGTATTCATTGCTTCACCCTTTTGGTAAAACTGTTTTTTATAACTTGACAGCAGCGTTCGAAAAAAAAAAAAAAGATGGCTGAAACTGTACTCAAAAGATGAGGATTTTTAATCTAATGCACTGGCATATCTATAGGTTTGTGATTGGCCCCTCTTCTTTGTGACATCTATTTATCTGTTATTGACAATCTCATTTCCACGAGCCTTGCATGTGTACCTGTACGTAGAGTGCATCGTGATGTTGACGATTACTTCGTGCATGTTGAAAAAACTGGACAAATGTGTTTTGATTACAAGGTTGAAGTTGTGCTCAATGTCTTCCAAGAGCACTCCTGGGGGCTCAAATTCACGTTTGAGTTGCCTTAAGACAATGGCATTAAGTACTTAGACGTTCGCTTTTCATTTTTTTATAATGTTCATATTTGCTGGTGCTATTGGCCCAGGACGCTAAGAATGTCCTTTCTTTTGATAGTATGAATTTGAAGTTATTAAAAAGAGGAATTACCACCGCGTATATTCAGGCTGCCCTTAAGAACTCATGTGAGCACAAGGGTGAGGTCAGTCTAAAAAAAACAGAATAAAGAATGCTGGATATCTCAACACCATCATCATACCCGTTTGCCAAACCTTCCTGCAGAAAGTAAAGTTAAACAAAACAGGACCAAAAGAAAAACAGAATGACGACCAAAAACTTCTGCATGTTATACCATACGTATATAAGGTATCTCACAATTTAAAGAGAATGGCAATCAGATATGATATCAATTTGTTTTCTGCCCCTTGCAAGCTTTCAAAAGTGTGTGAACTAGACAGCAACAGGAGTAGTCGATCATGCAACATTCGTCACGAGAATAGGCTTACTGAATGCCAATCTAATATGTATGAATACCGCTGACATGTGGAAAAATAAAGATAGGACAACCTGGGAAATGCGTCAGTGACCAAGCAGGACAGCATGCTTTCAATGTTAAGAATAGCTATGGTAGTCTTATGGCTGTACACTGCAAAGAATGTAAGGGCAGTCCTCTGTTTCATAAAACAGTTTTTGAAAAAAAGCCAGAACAGAAATTGAAAGAAAGATTATAGAATAATTTTTTATCAGGAAGGCCACGGATCAATGCATCAGGACGCTATCATGTCTCCTTTTCGAGAGAGAGCATTATTTTCTCAATTAAGAGTATTTCTTCATGGTCACACATGTGTAGTTGCGCGTGAGCATTGCTCTTGCACTCCATATAAAAGTGGTAGTAGCACCTCCAATAAATTTAGTTGATAGTCAGCACTCTTGCCTGTCGATTTTGTATCTTCCTACAGTTATCACGCTGTTACTACAATGCAACCATGCGAGGTTGGTGTCTGGTTCCCAGAACAGCCTAGCAAAGACAGGTGCACATGACTGCTCATAGAGCGCATGCGCATATTCTCATTCATTTGGCTGCTGTGCTTTGCATTTATCAACTCGGTGGTTGACACTCACGCGTTCAGGTTAAAAAAAAAATGGGGAGCTGTACAAACTAAAAGAGTCATAGTTGCACCGCAAGGGCTGGCAGCTAACTCTTTTGGATCTGATCTCACTTTACTGTACAAAATACTGGTGTACGAGAATATAGCTGCATCAAGGAGATCAACACTTTTCGCACAGTCTCTTCGCAATGAGAGCGCAACATTTGGAAGTGTATGTGTGCCGCCAGCTGATGGCTGCCGAGCTAGCGTGCACGCCAGTGATCGCGACCGTGCCCCTAGGAGCAAAGTTCATAGTTGTTGCTTGAGGGACACCTCTCCCTACTCCCTCACTTCTTTTTTTCATGCACTTTCAATACGGGCGAAGCGCTTCCTCTCTGCTTAGACTACAGGCCTCCCGGGTGGGGGCATGTTATTACAGGTGCCCTCTGAGTAACTGAGATGGGCCAGATCGTTTGATCTCTGCTAAAGCCACATTCATCGCCCTGCTCGTGCGCTTTTACCCATGGATAGAACTTACGATGTCGAAGGTATGTTCTAAATTTGGAAGTTATACGGGACATGTCGGCAATAGCAAAGGCCCGTCGAGAATGTCTGTAATTTTTATTGCAATAATAAGGCTGTTGCTCCATTTAGCTGAGTGTTTGAAAAATTCAGCATTGGAGAAATGCTCCTTTACAGGTGCTTTGAATGGGGCTGCATTTGCTGTGAATGTTGTTACTGCTTTACACTTGCTTGAAAAGGCACTCCTGGCGGCTCCATGCCTGCTCTAAATCTTCCGGCTGCTCCAAGCCTGCTACAAAATGCACTTTTTTCTGCGCCTGCTTCAGACCCATCTAAGCTGTTCCACTCTTGTTTACTGCAACAAAACATCACCATGGTCTTACCTTTGGTACAGCGTGCAAGCAGCCATCACATTGGCAGCAAAAGCTAGCAGTGGCAGTAAGGCTAGGAGTAGCAGCAGCTCTGGTTGCTAATGTCACTTCCGGAAGCAAACCTTTTATCATAATGGCCAAGAGCACTGGCTTGCATTCCTGTTTTTGTGAACCGTGTGTCCAGCAGCTAGGCTGTCCGTTATGGACAGATAGCCAAGAAGCCTAGACTGAGCACAGATTTTTAAGGCACTGGAAAGTGGAAAGTGATGGGGCACTGTTACAGTTGCTTCGCTAGAGTGAGGTTCTACAGGAATATCAGCTGGCCTTGAACCCTGAGCAGCATAGTACAGTGCCAATACCTGCATATGTGCCTGAGCATGTGTCACAAGAGCATCAATACTTTGGCGTCGCCTCCACACAGTGAATGCCACTGTTTCTTTCATGTGCTTCCTTACATAATATGAATGTTAGAAGCAAAAGCAGCAATAATTGTAAGCAGGACTTGCCTTGACAATGTCTGTACTCTGAAGTACTTTTTGCTGGGCTAGTTGGTGCATCATAATGAGGAAAAAAATTAGACGCCTAAAACATTACAAGATTTCTTCCTATTCCCCCAACTATGCCTCTGTTTCAGAGACGAAATTCTGGACACATGCACACACCATCAAACGTGGTTCTGAATGACATAGGCTGGGGTTTCCGGCAGGGGCAAACATTATTTTCTTGTTGTCCTGGCGTGGCTAGTTGCATTGGCTTGCTATTATTTGCATAATTGAGTAGTGGGCTATGTAAAAAGTTACAAACAAATGCCCTTTTTGTTTATTTGCACAATATATGTCTTTTGTTCTTTGAGCTAAAGAGACCCCACTACTAGGGGTGTGTATACGAGTTCAGCTTTTTCTCATGACCTTTGGGACTTTTTGTTTCCCTTAGTGGACAACAAGCCTCTACTCGCAGAACTTGGCGCTGTTGACAAGTTGTTGTCAATGCTGGCCGTGGAGACATTCCCTGTCGTCTTCAAGCTTCTTGGCACATTACGCATGCTAGTTGACAAACAAGGTATGTCCTGGCCTTCCTGTTCGTCATGTTTTCTCTATTACAGTTTTAGTTTTAAACAAGCTGCATTTAACAACTTTTACCAGGTCTGCTGTAGATGCATTGTATTTGTAGGCTTATGCCACAGGAGTGAAGAAAAGAGACGGCTTAACTATAATCGGCGGCAGCAGGTAACGTGAGCCGGGGCTGCACGTGCCAAAGCCGAGTGCCATATTCATTTACTTCACTTTTGGTCGCATGCTCTCTAGTATGCGTGCCACCCAAACAAGGGCACTATGCATTCATAATGGGCAGACAAAGAACTTCTCATTAAGGAGCAGCCTAATTTTCTAGACTTGTGTTGCTTGGAGTTGATTTTCTCTGGCTTCAGCATTTTTGATTGTTGCAAGTTCTTGAACACACTCAGTTGTTCATACCTTATCACCTTGGCCAACTTTTGCATTGGCATGTTTTTCGCAGAACTGGGGTGTGTGAAAATTAATAGCCTTTGAAACGAAGTCAAATAAAGCATTGAAAACTTTTTTTACTAGTTTTTCAAGTATTGGACAGTCTACTTATTAATCTAAAAAAAAGTGTTTGTGGCTGTATTCAACATGTTTCTGTCCTTACACTTGACATTATAAAAGCATGTTTTATCAAGAGCACGAACGAAGCATTAGGAACAATTAAACAGCTTACTTGCTTACTCAGCATAGCACAAATGGTCAGACATTATTACAATATCATCTTAAAGATAGTACTGTGAACCTTTAATATCTGTATGGCTTCATATCAAGTTTGAAATTCGTCCCAGCTACAGTTATAGTTGATTGTAAAAAGCACTTTTTTTTTCTATTTTGCAAGTCATTGCAGATGGTACAACATTTGAATAAAGTAATTAGTCGTCAAATGTGTTCAGATGTAATCTAAACTGAGTACACAGATCCAGCATAGTTCAGTGCCTGGCCATGGGCACTAAAAAAAGCCTGGCCATGGTGACTGCGTTTTGATGTAAGCAGAATGCAGGACATGTGAGTGCAGGATACTGCAACGTGGTGACACTCGCTGTGACTCGCTTGGATGTCTGCTGTGCTGTTGCATCAGCTATCAAACACGCGGTTCGTGGCTTCACGAGGTGTAAACTTTCATGACTGAACTTAAGGTCACTCGCTATGTGTTCTGACCTATTGGGAGATAAAATGCTTCGTTCGGGCAAGCTACAGAGACTGGGCTGGTCTCGTGCATTTCGTTTTTCATGAAACACCCCATGTGGCCACCCTGTGTTGAAACATAACCGTGGAACAAAAAATTGGCTGCAAATCTGTGTAATTTGCTAGCAAAGGTCGTTGAAAGACGAGAGTCTTTGGTTTGGAGAGAGAGAGAATCTAGCGTTTGTTTGATGTGCTACGCGAGAAGATTGGTGAGTAGGCACTGCGGGATATTTAGATGCCATGTGGCAGTAATTTCAAAAAATGACAATTTTTCTAGAATGCAGAGCCGCTTTGGTGGCAGCACAGGGTCGTTTTAGTGAAGCATAGAAAACACCCCCTTTTTTGTTCATATTATCGCATCTTCAGCGCAGCCGTATAAGCATTGAGGTTTTTAGAATGCACATTAGAAATAAAGTAATACACTACCTAATACTTATGTATTGATGCTTATCTCAAATATGCATACTTGCTTTTTGATTGACAGTTTTCACAAGTGTGAATGCAGCAAGCAAATCAAGATGGCTGGGAGTTAGTTTCATGGGCGGTTGCTCCGTGCGGCACGGAGAGCAACATAAAAACAGACCAGAACTTCTTCATTTAAATAAGTATCCTAAGAAAGACTACCATGTTTAAAACAACACAGTTCAATGTTGGCATCCATCAGGCCCGTAGCCAGGAATATTATGGGGGGGGGGGGGGGGGGGGGGCACTTGCTAAAGACGTTAAGAGAGAGAGAATAAACTTAATTTTGCGACCAGGCGTGCATTCTCTTCTCCCAGAGACCGCCAACATTCTCATTCCAGTTAGCCATGGCTGGCCGCCGATGCTCGAGCTCTTTCCACCAGCCGGAGCTGGTCCTCAGGGTTTACCGACGTCATGAAAAATGTCTCCCACTGGTCTTCTAGAGTTGAAAAATACCTTAAATTTGGGCCCACAGCCCCCCCCCCCCTCCCCTCCTGGCTACCGGCAGGGCATCTTTATTTTAGTCATCTTTTACATCATTATTAAGAAACTTGATGTCAGATCACTTTCATAAAAATTATCAGAGCTGTGCAAATGGGAAAATTTTTGGTACAGAGCAAATTTTTATATTATAGTTGAGGTGCAAATAGAAAATATTTTTCAAATAATAATAGAATATTGCTACAATATATTTTTGATAGTACTTTGAAGCAAAATTTCAGAAACAGGGTTCGAGAAGATTTATAGGCATATTTTTATGAGATAGCAACATGAACTTGTTTTTTTTTTTTAGCTAGTTTGATGAAGTGCTGGTGGGGTGGTGTTTCATGGCTGTCTTATCAAGAACAGAGGCCGAATTGTGCTTATGTACATGATTTGGTGCAATCAAAGTATTGCCGACAACACTTTAACTCTGAAAAGGGAATATACTATTTCCTTATTCTCTCCTCCTTTTTGAACTTCTGCAGAAGGGCTGATGTGGCGTACAATGGTGTACTCCCTTAAGAGTCCAGAGTACCAAACCTGTCTCGTAGACGTGAAAGAACACCCAAAATTTTGTATGCTAGAAATGTTAGGCGTCTGATTTTTTTTAACTTCCTGTCCAAATTTTAAGTCGACAGCAAAATCAATTTAGCCTCCACTTATTTCACATCTGTTATCGCCATATTAGAACTAGCATTTTCTTGAGTCAATACATTTACAACCAGAGCAGATTCTGAAAGGCAGCTTTGCCGCAGAACGAAAGTGGGATGGGGTGAAGCATAATAAAAACCTAAAGGTGCCACTATCACTTTGACGTCAACTGTATTTATCTTCGGGAAGTTCGAATGATTGAAGTAGTAAAATTTTAGTGGGAAATGAATTGAATAGTGAATACTTATTGAAAAATATTTGAAATTTAGAATAGTCGTGCACATCTAGAAATGGTTCATATGCGAGATACAGGACAGGTGTTCTTTCAAATGCCAATGTTAACTGACAATTGCTTCAATACCCCCTAATTTTCTAAACATCACCTCCAGTTGCTGCCAAAAAGCTTGTTGAAAAATGTCGCTTGAGCTGCATTGCTTTCTGCATAGCTTTTTCTCATGAGTATATTAACATTGTTGTGCAGAGCTTGTCGCTACAAAGTTGGGCCTGAATGAGCAGCTGGTGAAGCATCTTGTGACATGGTGTAGCATTGAAGACCACCCGGGTGTCAAAGGTGAGAATATATGTTACGCTTTTTATTATTACGTCCAATTTCGAATGAGAGGCTACGATGTGGGTAACCACCTTGAAAAACTTCAAACACTTACAGTGGTGTCAAATCAAACTTTTTTTTTCTTTAACAATTAAAGGAACATATTCATGCTTAGTGCCTGCAGAAAGATGGAAAATTCTGTTCTGGTGAGTGAAACACTGGCATTACTAGTGAATCTTGTTAAGATGAAAAAAACTATAATCTCAATTCTATTGTGCTGAGTTTTAGCATGGAATGAAAGACCATGATAAGGGAAAACTAAGAACTTCATATTTAATTGCTTTATTCTTGCTTCTGGTGCCGTTCCATTCTTTGATGCATGTGAGAACTCAGTGGGATACTATTATAAAGGTAGTTACTCCAACTTGCCCATTACATTTTATTACTTACCAGATCTTCATCAGTGCTGTCCAGGACAATGAAAACTATCCTCTCCTTGGGAATAATAGTTATTTCACAAATTCTTGAGCATTGACTTGGGCATGATTATGTCTTCACCAAGAGTGCACATAGCAGATTTGGAAAAATTTTGTATTGTATGGTTTAGACTCACACATTATGGCTGGTGCTTGTGTTTGTGTAATACTTAAGCATGATATCGTGCACTCCATGAGTGTCATTGCTCACCAACTAGCTCATGTCTCATATGTCTTGTCCAAGAGTGCATTTTTCAGATTTCGTGAAAATCCTTTATTGCTCATTTCTTAAGGGAAAAGTCACATTAGTCGTGTTCTAAACATAATTACTGATGAGGGCACACACCATAGTTATTACAGTATACCTACAATAATTGTATGGTGATTAAAAGGACTGATGACCAATGTTTTTTATAAATCTGTTTTCTTTGTAACATAAAGTATACCAGTCATGGTGTAATCATAGAACGGCAACGCAAAAATGTCGCAAAACATTTCAGACAGTCGAATCTCATTAATTCGAACATGCTAAATTCAAACTTCCGGTTAATTGAAACTCGCACTGTGGTCCTACCAAAGCTATGTGTATTCCAATGGGCAATAATGCCCTGTAATTCAAACGCACAAGCACTTGCGACAGTTCATTCGAACATACCGCGCTCTGAAAATGCTCTCAGGAACACGCCCGATCTTGTGGCGGCACCTCCGCCACCTCAATGATGCGCGCGAAGAAGGAAAAGAAGAAAAGAAAAGAAAAGGCTGTGGCGGAATGTTTGCCCCTTTCTGAAATGCTGATCTGTGATGCGCCTGTGCCACACTTCTTCCTTTTTTGTCCCTGTCACGTAGAGACCCTTCTCTTTTCAACGCTGTGCACGAAGAGAAAGGGGAAAAAAAATAAAGCTGTCGTGGAGTATTGGCTCACTCTCTAATGCCGATCTGCAATGCATTGGTACCACGCTTCCTCCTTTCCCGTCCCTGCCACGTTGGTAACCTTTTCCTTTCAACGCCGTGTACAAAGAGAGCAAAAAAAAAAAGAAGAAGAAGAAGCTGCCGCAAGTGTTGGATTTCTCGCAAATGCCGATCACCTTCTCTCCGCGTGGAGACGCTCCTCCTTTCTCATCATGTGCTGGCCATGCTCCGGCTGCGGCACAGAGGGTAGCAGATGAGAAGCAGTCATTGCCGTCGTCTTTATAGAGTGTTGGCGCTGGACATTGCGGCGCACAACTTCTCTTGCCAGAAGAATGCTGAAGCCGAAGTGGAAATGCTTTACAAACTCTGTGCGAAATAGATTGACTCGCTGCAAGGCAAACGTGTGCAGACGCACATCACCGATCGCTTCAATTAATGGCGGATGTCCTGTGATTTGTGAATAAATGTGTTATAGAACTTCTCCCTCATGTGTTAGCTCAATGCACATGCGCCACTGCATGGTGAGACTTCTGTTCATATAGCTTTCATTAGTTCGAACTTCTTTTAACCCTTTCAGCCCTGGATTTTTATTTTGGTCAGATACACTTTTTGCGCGCGTTTTGCTCGTAGTTAGGACCTCACAAGACCACAAACGGAAAATTGAGCCACTGGTACAAACATTTTCGGATTAATTAACGTGGCATCAAATTAGGTAATTAGGGCCCTGTGATTGAAAAATGAAAAAAGTCGCTTATTTTTTTCTGCCAATCATTGGTGCACACAAAATGGAAACCGTCTTACTTTTCAGCCTAATACTCACTGAAACAGCATCGGTACATCGTCCCGAAAATGGCGCTTACCCGCTTAAACTTAGGCGCCTCGGCTTAACGGAAGACCTCGGTCACGCTTCTTCTTCTTTGTTCCTGCTACCTCCACAAACATGCCGCAATATTGGTGTCTATTGCAGTAGGGATCATTGATAAACTATGCCCCCAAGAATAAGCAGTATTGGTTGCGTTTCAGAGATACTATGGGAAAATTTGTGCGGTGGTGTCAATTGACACCGCCAGGGCCGAAAGGGTTAATTCGAACAAATTTTTGGGCCCCTTCGAGTTCTAATTATTGAGATTCGACTGTATAAGAATTTTAGGATCTGCAGCATCGGTGAAGTTGTACACGCAACGCATGCTAGTAACAGTGAGAGGATAGTTTGTTTTTTTTTACCTTTAAATGAAACTCAAAATATATTTTTACTCAAATTAGTACAAAAAAGGATGCTTGAATCTGTCACTTAGTTTATGGTCTTTAAATTTCCACCAGTATTTAATCACGCATTCTGGCCAATCGTCGGTCTTTTTAAACCTTTGTTTCCTCAGCCAATCCAGTTTTACAAGTAAATATTAACACAACAGCGTTAAAGAGCTCACTTCACAGAAATTCTAACGTTGGTGTCGGCATCGTATGTTGTGAGTGAAAAAATCATCTTGTGTGTGACTGAAAAATCGAGAATGATGCAAATCAAATAAATACAAAAAAATTCTTGGCCAGAGTAGAGATCGAACCTGGGTCATTTGCATAGCAAGCGAATTTTCTTTCACACAGCCACGCCGCTGCTTGTGAATGCAGTAAAAATGACTTCTTTTGCTTAGAAATTGAGTGAAAGTAAGTTTCATGCTTTACAAACACATGTGTCCTGTATACATGCTTCACAATACACCATTATTTATTTATTTATTTATTTATTTATTTATTTATTTGGGTTGAGTACATAGAGAACACGGAGACAGAGGAAACAGGGAAGGAACCGGCTGACAACTGCCACCTGTAGGGGCACAAAGCCTGCCTGCTCCTTTGGAAAGGGGAGGCATAGAGGAAATAAGGAAAGAAAGAAGGAGAGAAAACGAAAATTTAAAAAGGGGGGGGGGATGCACACTAAAAAAAATTAGTCACATGAAAAACGACTATAAACGTAATGATCGGACATTCCACTGCAGCACGAAGGGGCGGGGCTTTCTACTGTTCATACTGTTTTTAGTGAAGGTGATCGAGAACTGGGATGAGTGCCTCCAAAAGCTGTTCTGCGGCTAGTGCTGCTGGTGTCTGCGACCGGCAATCAGTGATCTAATGACATTGATCAGCATCTTAAAGAGGTTGATGAGCTGGGCATCGTCTTCGACAGAGTCTGTTTTGTCTGCAATCTTTTCCACCTTAGGCGGAGCTTTTGTAGAAGCTGGTTCCGACGCTTTGCGAGAAATGATCTTTTCAGAGACTGCCTCGGACATTTTCTGTGAAAGCGCCGGCCACGATGTTGCCGAGAGGCAGAAGTTCCTTTTTTCTCTGATGCACGCTTTTAGTACTATACAGTCGAGCCCACATATAACGGCCTCACTTAAAATGAACTTTCGCTTAAAACGAACAATATCTGCGTGACCGTCAACATATACAGCGGTTCAATGGCACAAAACAAAATTGCACTTACAACGAACGTCTCCGAGCGCTGCTGATCGGTTACAGCGAACAGAGTCGGAGGTCTGCCAACTTCCCGGGAAACCAATTTCGACCACCGATCAGGCATCGGCGAGGTGCCCATACATTCTTGTTGTTAAACGCCGACCCTGCCTCAGCGCCCCTCTAGTTGCCGCTCTCGCCGACCGCTTTTTGTTACGCACCCCTCCGTCCTGTCCTTTGCCCCCCCCCCCCGCTACCCTGGTTACCCCGCATCGCCAGACGAGGCCCGTGTTTTCACACTGCCACCAATCTTTCGAAGACCGGTAGGCCATCTACCCTGTTTTTGATCGCTGGTACTATCGTTGGCGTCGCTGTCCTGGAGTGACCAGACCATTTGCCAACATCGTCGGCCACCGACTGTATCCGATAGTCTGCGTCTAGTGCACGCGCGTATGCTATCCCACCGACTCTGATAATTTGCGATTAGTTTCGTGTTTAGGACTTGTTTTCGCTTACTTCGCACTCGGCTGAGCATGCCTTCCGCGTGCGTGCAGAAGGCATGCTTAGCCAAGTGCGAAGTTTTTCTACGTGCGAGTTTCACGAACCTTTCAAGCAAGCTACCCAACCTGCCTCCTTCCCGTGTGTTTTGGTTTTCAAGGTCGCCCTCCCGCTGCATCCTCCCCTCTCTATTGCAACTCCTTGCCCTTCTCTCGCAAGTCTGCTCACCTCTCTTGATCACAACCCCTTCGCCCGTCTCCGCCGCTCCGCGACGCCTGTCACGCTGGCTCGAATTAGTTTAGTTTTTTGTATAGAAATGGGCCTAGAGCTGTTCCACGCGCTCTGGCATGTGTGTCACGTGTGCACGTCTTGCTCGCTCTTGGTGTGCGTGTGTGGTCATGATGACCAACGGGAAGACTAGCACGCTTTTTCGTGCCGCTCAACAAAACGTCGAAACTGTGACCGCTTGGCTTGAGCGTAATCAGCGCGTTAGGTGCCGCATTGTGGCGCTCTTTCTTAGCTGTTGACCACCTGGCAGCCAACTTGCCGCTTCGGGAATCCCTGTATTCAGCTGTGGAGACGGTTAATATTTCGTGGGCGGTGGTGACGACTACATGCGCGCGAAACTGTTTTCGCGAGGCCGACTTCGTCGACGTCGGACCCGATGCCGAGCCTGAAGCTTCTGAACTG